ATCCTGAAAAATATTTGGGGGTGCTTAACTTTTTTCCAGGTGTATATATAGTATTAATGGAAGAGCAGTGATGGATTAGCACAAGTGAATAAAATTTAGTACAATGAAGTTTATTGAAGCTATTGGGTTTGGATTTGTGTCAATACAGTGAAATATTGTGCCACTTTTAGACATTGTGATATTTGATTTGATTTTTACAATAAAAAGAAGAAAAAATTGTATATTGGTAATTACTACAGGTAGAATAATCTTGATCCATTATCCATGAAAGCTGTTTATAAATATGAAATTTTTCTTTGTAGTTATGTATTATTTTCACAGAAATGAAAGTGTATTGTGGACCCAAGTTCACCTATTATCTTCAGCAGATAAAAACTTGATAATTTAGACAATCCTTTTCAGTATTATATGAATGATCATCAAAAATAAATATTTAATGTTCTGCAGACATTGGGTACTGCGTGTTAAAATAAGCTGAATAAGCAAAATTAAAAAATCAGATATATATATATATATATATTTATTACATTTATAATTGATTTACACAAAACATTCCAATTTTTACAGGGAGCTGTAACAAACATCCTGGAGGAGAACGTTATTCAACCGTTACTAGTGTCAACTAGTGCTGTTACACTGGCAGCAGAAACTGTACGAAGCATTTTGAAGATAGATGATATTGTAAGTTGTTTGCTTTATTCGTGAAAGGGTTAAAAACAAAGTTGTTTATTTATCACTGACCATTTTCAAAGATTGATGGCCTATGCTTGTTTGTTAATGTGTGTGTGTAGAATCCACACTTCCTTGTAGTATGGTTTATTATAATGTCTTGGAACGTATCTAGTGGCTGTGATGATGATAAAACTTAGGACACCTTATGATCTGAATGATTACTGCAAGCAAGCTGAGCAGCCTAAATCTAACACAAGATTTGTGATTTTGTATACTTTAGTATTAGTACTTATTTCCTTCTCAAATTGTACTTTATGATGACAAAAGAGAACTTGTACTGGAATGAAATTCAGGAAGATCAAAGCAAAATACCAAAATGTTTATCTTGAGCATGGTCCAACACCGGTTCTCTGTTAAAAGTGAACAGTAACATTTAAGTTAGTTAGAATTTTAATCATGACCTGTGAATTTGAGTAAGAAAAATTTTTTCATTACTTTTGGAGTTTCTCCCCTTTGATTCTCTTTACTTTGGGGTGTCATTAACTGTTACCAATCTCATTTATTGTAAATTTTGCTATTGACTTCCAGTTCCATTTTCTGGCTAATTTTTAGTGTAAATCTTAGTTTACAAGTCATACAGATGAATAACTCCATCTGGAAGTTGGTTATTACATTTAACAAACCTCCAATACTATCATAGTATTGTTGCTATCCAGAAAGTTATTTTATCCATGTAGACAATTCCAGGGGTTTAATGAAAGTTATATTTCAAAACTTTTTAGCACCTTTGTGGTTGTATAGAGTTTTAACATAAATTCATTTTTGTCTCAGAAAGTTTGAGGTTGTGATGTTAAATTTTCTGTAGACACATTTTTAACAAAAACTAAATGCTTGTAATTGTTAAAAATGTTTGCATAAGATATTAGAGAAATGCTCTATGGTGGTTGCTTAGAAACATTAGTCGATATTTTCCAGATCAGTCTTTAATGAATGTGTAATTTGAATATGTTTAAGAGGCTAGTACAATCCTTGTAAAAGCATTGATACATTCTACCTTTAAGATATCAGTTGTTGCAGATTGTATCTAGACTGAAGTACAAGATCTAAGCACTAGTAATGTTTTTTGAAAATCAAATGAATGTAGTTATATAAACACCTTTAGTAGTTTATTTTTACACTCTCTGATATGGTTTATGTTAAAATTAATGTTTATTTCTGTTTGCAGGTTGCCACCGTTCGTTGACTTTGAACAAGAACCATTTTTGATCCTGCTGCTATTTTTTAATTTTATCTGAACTTCAGTTTTGGTTTATTAAATTGTTTTTGAGAACAAATATCCATCTTATTTCAAAGATAATATAAAGACTGCATTCTATAGTTTGATTTTTTTGGTAGAAGTTAGAAACTTAAACTACACCTCTGGTTTATATTGTGAGTACCAAAGAAAGTATTTAAACTTACATATTCCCAAATCATACTCTGATAAGATAAACTCAAGTTACTTTACCAGTAATTTTTTTTTATAAACAAATATTTTCAGGTGGTTCATAAAAAGAAAAGTTTTTTATTCTACATTTATTGTATTGGTAATGCCACTAATAAGAAATTATTCTTGCACTAATGTATAAGGAAATTCCCCATCAATGTCTGAACGTTTTTATTTTCATTAATATGTTTCACTAACTCCAACAGGGTGCTATTTATTTAAAGTAGTTCTTAACTGATACTTCTATTCTTATTGTTCACCAACATTTTTACTTCAGTTGTAGTGTGAATGTTGTATCTGAATTTTGCCTGTAGTTGTTGTAGCTTCCCAATAAAAACCCAAATGTTTCCTGCTATTTGTTACTTTTTCTGTTGTTTGTACATAAAGCAGTCTGCATAAAATTCATTTAGAACTTAGTAATTGTTATGATTTTCAGAACAGTCTTATAATAACTGTGTTTTTTTACTGTAAAAAGTACAAAAATGGCTAACCACAATTAGCTGAATTAATGGTTGAAAACTGGCTCCTGTGAACTAGAATGTCACAGTTCCATACGTGTTGTTGTATGACAGTACGTTGACCATTCTTTTTGAGTGTTCTTTAATCCGTGTTTCCAAGTGTTTGAATAGTTAAACCAATATAGCCTCTCGTACAGTGAGGACATAAATTTTGTATGTGACCAGGAAAAGTGAGTAAAAAGTTTTGAGTTAGTTTTAATCATTAGTTCAGATCACAGTGAGAAGATGCTTGGGATTTAAAGAAATAAAATAGTATTTAAGATGTTTTGACCCACATAAGTTACTACCCAATAAGCCTTTTGTTAAATACCAGATCTCATCAATTCACGTGGATCTAACATGCTTGCTTTTTTTTTACACACACACATCTTAATTCGGACAAACTAAGAGGAATTTGAACAATACATAAGCAGTTAACTTGTTTTTATAACAGTTTATTCTACAAGATTTCAAGACCAAAGATTGAAGTTGCACTTTGATCATTCTTGTTTGTACCTTTCTGCCAGTGTGTTGATGCACATGGTCACATAAACAATAGATACATATAATTCACTCTTTATGGCAGCACATCATAACTGATGATATACAGGGCTGGCCATTTTATTGAAGGATGTTGTTATATAACACTTTCTCCTATTGTTCGAGAAATCAGAACAGTTGTTCAAGATGACATAAAAATAGTTGCCCAGCATAACTTGTTTTTATGATATTGAATTGATTAATATTGAGTCTTTATTTCATGGTATGATGGTAAAGGTTGTGTATAAACAATGAGAAGAGTTTGCCTACATCATACCAGAAAACTTAGAACCTCTTTCAAACATACAAAAAAAAGTAAGAAACGGAATACAATTAGATAGACATTAAATACATTTTGTTGGTTATGTGACATGTGTGTATAATTGACTTGTAAATATTCTCAATGGTAAAATAACTGAATTACAAAAATGTGCATATTGTGATGAGGTTATACGATGTGTATGTTAGGTCAGTAGTTACTTGTGTGATGAGTACGGATGTATAACAAACCACCAGCTTCACTAAGTTTGTAGTTACTTGTGTGATGAGTACGGATGTATAAGAAACCACCAGCTTCACTAGGTTTGTAGTTACTTGTGTGATGAGTACGGATGTATAAGAAACCACCAGCTTCACTAGGTTTGTAGTTACTTGTGTGATGAGTAAGGATGTATAAGAAACCACCAGCTTCACTAGGTCAGTAGTTACTTGTGTGATGAGTAAGGATGTATAACAAACCACCAGCTTCAGTAGTTATTTACGTGATGAGTACGGATGTATAATAAACCACCAGCTTCACTAGGTCAGTAGTTACTTGTTTGATGAGTAAGGATGTATAACAAACCACCAGCTTCAGTAGTTACTTGTTTGATGAGTAAGGATGTATAACAAACCACCAGCTTCACTAGGTCAGTAGTTACTTACGTGATGATTAAGGATGTATAAGAAACCACCAGCTTCGCTAAGTTAGTAGTTACTTGTGTGATGAGTAAGGATGTATAAAAAACCACCAGCTTCGCAAGGTCAGTAGTTACTTAGATATTTAAAGATGTCTTCACAGTTTTTAATCAGACCTGTAAATATTATTTCAACTTGAAATACTACTCACAAATATGAACAACTGGGTTTATAGTTTATTTTAGCGTAAAGCTACACGAAGGACTGTGATGGACTTCAGCGTTGTAAGTCTCTGAACTTACCATGGAACTTAACTGACAAAGAGAAATTAAAATTTTACAGTTGATAGTATTACATATATTTAGGTTGAAATATATTTATATATTACAATGTGCGAAGATTGATGCCTAGTACAAAATGCGCCGAAAATGTACAATGCAAATACGATTTAATTTCGTTTTAAGTAATTTATTGTTGGTAGATTCATAACAGTGTAATTAGAGCCAGTCTCTTATGATTTTTAGTTCGTCCCTTTCTGCAGTAATATTTGTTTATTGAATTTCACACAAAGCAACTCGAGGGCTAGCTGTGCCTAATTTGGATGTGATGGACTACAGTAAAGGCAGCTAGTCAACGTTACCCACCGCCATCTCTTGGGCTACTCTTTTACCAACGAATACCGGGTTTGATCATCACATTATAACACCTCCACGGCTTAAAGGGCGAGCACGTTCGGTGATGAGATTCTAACCTTTAGACCGCCTTAACCACCAAGCCGTACAGTAATATATACAGTACCTTATAAAATAAGATGACATTGATCTAAAGCATGTGTGTGTCGTTTTATAAAACATACATTGAGGTTTCTGCTTGCTGAAGTTTACAATGTTTAATTAATGCAATTTTACACTAAAATAATAAGATCAGTAATACAGGAACTACTTTGATAATTTTCAAGGATTCGTATCTCTTAACTAACAAGAGTCTTAAAAAATGGTTAAGAGATAACACATACAGTGACATTGAATGTATTTGTATTGATATGTTGTGAACCAATAACATTGTGAACACACAAACTGAGGCAGTATAGCATTTTCATTTATTCAGAACATCACTCGTGTCATTTAAAGAACCATACAATAATCTTTTGTTAAATAAAACGCAATTCCATAACCAAGAGCCACGTGCGTTAGAATATTCAGATGCCTCAAATAAATATACCTTGACATATCTCTAAAGCAGTGAATTGTATCTAGATTCCTGGTGGATTTAGAAAAAGATTCAACGTCAGAGATATCTAAATTGCCTAAATATCTTTGAAATAAGATATCTAGAACGCTATTTATACGAACTATTATTGTTTTAATTGTTAAATCTACATATGAGCTAAAAAATCAGGAAAAATACCTGTTACGTTAATTTTTTGGCAGTTTGATACGATTATTGAAAAAAATATATTTAAGATATTTACAGTTTTCATCAAATTAGACTGGTTTACATATACACCAGACTTGTTCCTTTGCAATTGGGTTTCTCAAAATATTGCAGTGCTTTGATCCCCCCCCCCCTTTTCAAATGGTAGGAAATTCGCACAAGTAATTAAAGTGTAGATTTTGGTACGTTAAAGTTTTCATAACATAAGATTGTTAAACTTATATGTACGGAACAACCGCAATGAGACGGAGACAGTTCCAAATGCATTTAACACGAATTAAAGAAATGTTCAAATCTTCACGATAATATAATTTAAATCAATTTATATTTAAACTATTCTAGAGAAATTTACAAATAGATATTTACCGAGGCTCATTGCATAGGAAATTAAAACTAGAAATTTCATAGTGATTACACACTAATTTTCTTAGAAATCTAATAACTATTGTGTGACCCAGTAACTAGTGTTTTGGACTCTTAGTTGGGAGGTTGACAGTTCGAAGCTTATTTGGGACATGCTGTCGTGTCCTTCGGCAAGAAATTCGACTTTAATTGTTTCAGTCCACCCAGCTGTATAATGAGTACCAGTGGATAGAGGGGAGTTAACCAGCAATGGACTGTCACCCTCCCCCGTTCGGGGGGGGGGATTGTGTCACCATTCTCATCCGCTTGTGCCAGTGAAATCGAATTTCAGCATCAGATGCTGTTTCAGGATGGGATGGATTTAATTAAACTATCACGTCACTGAAACTGTTAGGCCTGATGATGACTGAAGTGTAATAGTGGAAAACAGAAAATGGTCATATGATTAAGAACATTTTATTCTAATATTGAAAATGATAAGGCTGTAACTAACAGCAAGTTGTGTGACCGATAAAAAACAAAGAAACAGTATTTATATATGGAAAGAATATTTTTTAATAACTTCCAACTTAACTGGCTCGATCAAAATAAAGCCAAGGATAGAGAACTGCCAATAGAATTAGATCTGCAGTTAACGATATGAAGTTTTAATACTTTCTGGATTACCATATTCGTTTTATAATATGGAGAAATTCGTATCGGTAAGAACAAAAAGAGCAGTCGAAAATAAACATTTTGGTTAAATGCGCTTTTCTCACTAAAAAAACACATCAATTCTAAAAGAAATTGATCTAGTATCTAGAATAAAACTTCATTCGTATATTCTAATATGTAAATCTAAAGTTTCGTGACATAATACCTGGTGTGCCAACTTTATGCATTCCATTAAGAAAGAAAAGCAACGGACGCTTAATTTTGAAGCTTATAAGAACCAGACTAAAGTAATATGAATAAAATTCGTTTCGGCACAATACCCCTTTCTTGTTATTTACTGAATAAAAATGCATTTGTATCGTAATTGATGTGTATAAATGTATTCCTTCGAAATTATTTCCAGTTAACGTCGCCATTGTGTATCCCCAAAGTCACCATTGTGAAGTAAATTTCGTTGTGATATATAGAAAGGAAATACCATAGATATTCCCTAATAAAGTACATACGACATTGAAGTTCTGAAAACGTACCACGAGACCGCCATCTTGGTAGAGTGAGTGCTCAAGCCACGTCGCGTTTCTTCTCTCTGCATACGTTAAGAACCCATGGGTGAAAGCAAAGTATAATACGTTAAATGATGTTAACCACACCACATCTGCTATATCCAATGCCTACAAGACCTTTTGCCCAATACCAGGGTCATCAGGCCGACTGGGATATAATAGGAAATAAGAGTGGTCTAGGCGCTATATATATACATATAATCAGTTTTCATGAACAACCGTTACGATGTGAATCAGATTATTTATTATTTTATCTGAATTAATGTTACTATCATTAACAAGAAGTGGCGAACCAGCAAGTTAGTATTCTTAAATTAATTAATGATGTGCCTGTCTGCAAAATATAATTTTAGGTCGTTTCTCACATGTAAGGGTTTGATTAACCATGTAATACAATGTTCCATTTTATTCTGGGTCATTTGATTTCTGTTTTATTTTTAACTTACTGTAACTTTTATTATTTCTCTGCAAGGTAAATTTATTATTAAAAAATGCAAATGAGGTGGTGTAAACACTTATTACATAAATTATTAAAAATTGCTAAGATCTAATAAAACTTAAATATTAATAACTTCTTGCTTAATACATATTATGATACACTTTTTATTATTTCCTAATGTTAGATTTTATATTGGTCTCAATATTCTGGTATATATATATAATTTTCTTTTCGTATTCATTGTCATAGAGTTTATACATTCTGGATCCCTCTTTGGTATTGTATTTCTTTTTTATTTCGTTTTTTGCATTATTACAGTAAAATAATTTAAAAAAACTTTCGGATTGTTGATGTATTTAATCTATTATTTATATTGGAATATTTCTACCCTTAACCTGTACCCTTCTATTACCCCTTAATTAATTTCACTTTGTTTTTACTTTGTTCCCCGTAGTGAGTGAACTTATGGGATATATTGTTCGCTACTTCGTGTCACAATTATATGTAACTTAATTCACTGTATATGCCTATAATATTTGTTTGTTTGTTGTTAAGCGCAAAACTAGACAATGGACTATCTATGCTTTTTAGTGTTGTAGGCCTACAGACTTACCGCTCTGCCACTGTAGTTTGGTAAGCCTACTTGGAAACGTTGAAATTCGTTCTGGAAAAACGTTAGCCAAAATCAATTAATAATGATAATAATCTAAAACAGTACCAATAGAGTTTCAGTTCCTTAGAATCTTGGCATCCTAATACTATCTATTTTTTATTTACATATTGTTTTCAAAGTTCATTTTTTAACCTACAACCATATTTTCACGTAGACATTTTTAATGAATACACTAACTGGTCAATTCTTTACCTCAGTGCATACTAAATACAATAAAATTATTTACTTTATAAACAAACATGACCTATTTTTAATAGTACTCAAGGACTAGTTTATCATATTCACGATGTATCTCTTATAGGAGCATACGGGACTGATTGCAGCCTATGTAGAATCATGAGAATACATATCTTGTAGTGCGTATTGAATTTTATCCAGCCTGTAATAGTTACTAAGCATTGACCAACATCTTGTACAAGGTCCTGGTACGAGTACAAAGGAGCTTATAAAGGATACTGTCCAAGATTTAAATATTGTAAGAAATACAATTTGTAACATGTACAACATTACAAAAAGTAAAGCTTAAAGATGGCTTGAATGAGTAAAAAAAAAGTTTTATTTATTACACATTCAAGTCGTCTTCAAACTTTATTGTATCAAAGTGGATTCCTCGTCATAAAACGTAATCACACAAAGTACAATTAATTAAGCCAATGGAGATATGTGATTAACACGCTGCACTGTATTATACTGTACTATGATACATTAAACAATGCAATATTATATTACTGATACTAATATTACATATGTTTAACTAATTATCAAACTCAGAAACAGCGGTACAACAAATCCGTCAAAACACTGAGAAGTCATGATCCTTGTACTAAAATACGAATTGTTGCCTTAGCACAGATCTACATGTAATATTTACAGCTTTATTTCCTCACGAATTGGAAGGCTTCACAAACATATCAAATTTTTATCACATTCATAAAACAAAACCGCCAGCATGTAAACTAAGAGATACATCGACACCAACAAGCCAATTAACTATAAGAAAGCACAAATAAAACTTATTTTAAATATATTCATTTGCAGAGTGATATTAAAAATCTATGGTAATTTATAAAGTTCTAAAAATACTTTCTTAAACATTTTCTTTATATCTTTGGTGTATTATATAGGTCTACATTTTACGTGCTACAGTAAAAGTAAAATACAAATAACTTTTTTATTGTTTTAAACCATTGTACAGTTAGAAAATATGCATACCATACCCACTATAATATGTTATGTCCACAGTTAGAGCCGACTCTATTTGTATTCGGCGCCCCTACCTCTGTAAAATTGACAAGAACTGCTAATTGCAACGTCGGTTTTGGCGCCCGTGCTGGTGACCCGTTACCAACTTCAAGGGCCGGCCCTGTTCACAGTACAGGACTGACATACGCTGTAGTACTTTATTTCGGTTTTAACTGAATCGTAATAAAACCAATGACCGCAGCAAGATGGCGCCCGATTAGCACATGTGGTAGATAGGAACAGAACGCGGACATCGCATCTTGTCTATTATGTTTTGTCTCTCTATGAGAGATACTGCCAACAATTATGCTCTGAGACCTAGGCTAAATAACACGTAACATAAACTAATTTAGTTATTACGTCATAAGATCTACGTGAGGTAGTTCACGTGTAGTTCTGTTATAAGATCTAGACGACCTAATTTTGAACGTGGAATTATGACTAAAAGCAGAAACAAACAATCTGATTATTGAGATAGCAGTCTTTTCAAAAATTTCAGTTATTTACCTTTATTAAATAACTTGACTTATATTAACGTGTGTCTCAATTTGTAAGACATATCTTATTTCATAGCAAAAAAAAAACGTGCTTCATTTTTCACTTTTAACTGTAATAAATTACAGTTTATATATTTTTATCTAAAACTGTTGTTCCTTAAAAAGTGAAAACTAAAAAAAAATTAATTGTTGTAATTGATTTTTTTTACTGAATTTTTCTAGGCCATAATCCTAAAACTCATAAAGCTATCTTCGACTTTTCATTACTAATGTTATATTGTTATAAACATTACTCTTGATATAGGATCAGAAATATTCAAACACCACTGGATTTTGTTTTATCTTGAGAGTTTACGAGGCTCTTCATGTTTCTTTTTGTTGCACAATACACAGTAGAATCACGAATCAAAATAAAACTACCCTCTAATCTTTACTCTCTCGAAGTCTGCATAATGGCGAATAAACTTTATTATACCTTCACGAAGAAAGTCACACATTTCTAAGATGTATATAGTGAGAAGTCAAAACAGCTATACACCACACGTAGCTTTGGTCCCTCAAGACGTCTACGAAAGTCAACCTTTTATGGAGATGACTAAATCTAGCCTTAGTGGTGTGAAATTTTAACTTTCTAATCGAATGATAAATCGAATAGCAAGTTATTCTATACAGAACTGTAGGCTTGTACACACTCTTATGTTAAAACACATTTCTCGAGCTCCTCCATTTCGTTCTTAAATATTATATATATATATATATATCCGTACTGGAAAGAAATTAACAATAAAAACTACAAATTAGCACCCAATTATCTACAGTTTTTTTTCCTTTTATTCCCATAAGTTGACGTATATTAGCTTAGATTCAACTTATCATTTGGATTTCCTCACGAAATGCCGCCAATCTCTTCGTAACATACTGATATTTATGTACAATAATACACTTGAGAAATATTTTACAAAACCAGCATCTTCCTTCATACTGGGTAACTAAGAGAAAAGAGTATAGCTTTATACCAAGCTCCTCTTGCTATGATGTAAACGTGATCAAGAAGAATGATGACGAACACCGAATATTGCTGAATGTGTGTTTATACAACCTACTAAGCCTAAAGCCGAGTAAAAACTATACCTAACTTATTGCAAAGGGCATACCTTAATGGTTTACTTATTTTACCATAGATTGAAAAACATGTTTCATGAATAATATGGTAAAATGTTACATTTCTTCCTTTTTCTATTCCCTAGTACATTTACACAATAGATAAGATGGGAAAAATTAAGATTTCTTGTAAAATGTATGGAATTAAAAGCTACTAGCTTATAAATACGTTAAGTTCTTTTTTTCATATATCCTCTTTAACACGAGAATTTGATAGAAAACTGAAATTCTATAATACTTGCTTAGGTTTAGGTGAATTATCTACCCAGTGCTTGATATTTCAGAAAACAAAAGAAGCGCGCTTTTCCAAACCATTTTATGATTTTTTTTTTCTAATGCCATTCAAAATAAAAATCGTAGAGTAATGATCACTTTTATTTCTTATTGTTCAACAGCAAGATCAAGATGATGAAGAGGATGACGAAAACACGGAAGTGCTAATAGACTTACTAGATGGCGCTACATATTGCAGGAACCCGCGAATAACTGACGGTGGCCTATTTTCTTAACTTCCATCGGCTTGTGGCTCCACACATACATTTTCTAAGACCCAATACTTAAACTGGGTAACTTGGGAATGAAGAGTTTACTCTGTTAGAAAACATAGAAATTTCTATTTTATGCTCCGCAGAAAAACAAAAAATACAAATTACAAAATAGAAAAAAGGTCGAGTAGGTTTAAAGCAACAAGTTGATTTTTTGGTATAAAACAACACTTTTCATTAGTAATAATTTACATTACAAGAAATATTATTATTGAAAAACCTAGATTTAACTTGAAATTTTTGAGACCGTAATAGCCTTCAAAGTATTTTATGACTTGATCGATCATTAATAATCTGTCAATGTATAAATATATTATATATACACTATATGCATGTATAGGTTTATCAAGCGTACGTATCTTATGCAAAGTAATAAAGTAGGTACCTTATAAAGAACTATAAAGTATGTAACTTACACAAAGCGATAAAATAGCAACTTATAAAAAATGATAAAGTACACAATTTATAGAAAATGATAAAGTACACAACTTATAGAAAGTAATAAAGTACACAATTTATAGAAAATGATAAAGTACACAACTTATAGAAAGTAATAAAGTACACAATTTATAGAAAATGATAAAGTACACAACTTATAGAAAGTAATAAAGTACACAATTTATAAAAAATGATAAAGTACACAATTTATAGAAAATGATAAAGTACACAACTTATAGAAAGTAATAAAGTACACAATTTATAGAAAATGATAAAGTACACAACTTATAGAAAGTAATAAAGTACACAATTTATAGAAAGTGATAAAGTACACAACTTATAGAAAGTGATAAAGTACATGACTTATTTAAAATGACTTGAGTTTTAAGTGATAATGTACATAAGTTATAGAAAGTGATAAAGTACATAACTTATTTAAAAGGACTCGAGTTTTAATTGGTTACTTTATCCAGCTAGAGACCTATTTAAGTGTGGTGTGTATATAATAAATGTTTAATTTTATTAAATCTCTAAGTGTAACAATAATTATTCATAAGTCTTGTTATACATTCAAAATCTTTAAATCTGGAAGTATAAAGAATTGTATAAAGCATGCTATCAGCAACATACTAAAATGAAAAATGACCAGAACCAAGAGACAAAAATACATAAAAAAAGCAGCATGACAAAAATTATGCACGAAGCTTTTTTTTTATTCTCAAAAGTAAAATTCTTATTTTTTATTTTTTTAAAGGAAAAATTCTGAAAACATGCACGTGAATAACGGTAAAGATCCACCACACGAACATAAACGATGACGAAGAAGGAGCCCAGCAACGTTTAATAAGACATACCATTACTCAGGCACCGTTCCAGGAGCATGCAGCAAGCAGGGATAACTTTAAGATGATGGTTGGTCTTTCTTGCCAGAAAAGATCACGGAACGTATGCCTTTGACAGACGTCTGGAACGGAGACAAAACAAGCACCACAACCGTCAATGGATTTCTTCGGGAAAAGAGCCAAGCCATGAGCACGCGCACTATCTATCGCGGCTTGTGTTTGCAGTAATAAAATAGTGTTTTTTAAATCGCATTAAGTTATTATATTTTTCCATACATACTCTGTTAATATGCTACAACAACAACTACAAAAACACAACAAAGAAACAGAGCAAAACATGTAAAGCCCTCGTATACGGCCCTATGACAGACAGTCGCAAAGGTTGGGTCTAAATGTTAAGTCTTCAAATCTTGTCTATATCTTAAATGTATTTGACATATACCAATATTATCACTGAATTCTTCGATTCGCCAGGTTTACATGCCATTGTTAATTCAAGTACATGCATGGAAACGAAATAAACCACAGATTCAGACAATTCGCAACAAGTATGCTAGAATGTTTAGTTGTTTAATCATTTCTGGTGAATTGTTAAAAAAGAATCTCTCTAAACAGACACATTAAATACTGGCTAATCAGAATAATCTCTTTTAGTTAGGCTATAACTGATATGTATGTCATCTGATTGGATTCGCTTATTTTTGGTAGTACAAGCAATTAATGTGAGGTTTTTATGCCCTACAGATAAGTTAACTGCTTCTGAAGATGAGTTGTGATGTTTTCAGCTCAGGAGTTAGGAGCCGTTTTTTGCTGAGCCTTTGCTTCAGTCTTTGGATGATACAATGCATAGTTCTCAAAACTCGTGCGCGTAAGTAATAGAAACGTCATTGATTAATACTTTCCACCTAATTAGCTAACACGAAAGCTGCACGTGTTTGTCAAATTTAACTATTGTAAATAGCCGATATTATGAGGAAATGTTTTAAAATTAAGCGACCTCTGTATTCCAAACTAGATAAAAACAAGAGAGTAAATAAATTAATTATCTACATTAAAATAAGTAATATATGTATTAAAAAACTCGGACGCAAAAAATTACGACCATCTATGGAGTGCTCATTTCATTACAGGTACTTTTTAATATTCTCTTTTTAACGCCCCCTAGTGGCACAGCGGTATGTCTGTGGACTTACAACGCTAAAAACCGGGTTTTGATACCCGTGATGGGTAGAGCACAGATAGCCCATCGTGTAGCTTTATGCTTAACTAAAAACAAACACTTTTTAACAAATTAAGAATTTTGCAATTTTACAAAATAAAATACTTTTTTATTTTTTAGCACACCTTTAAATGAAGCAAAACGCCCCCGTATAGAAATTACTTAAGTGTGGTGTGTTTTGTTTTCATAAAAGTTATATGCTAAATAAACAAATGTTTCCTGGAATGCAAAGATATAGAAATTACAAAAATAATGTTAATACGTTAAAAACAAAGAAAAATAAAGTTAACAAACAGTTCCTCAAAGCCAATTTTAAAAAGGCATTATGGACAAATATGTTTTTATGGAACTGAAGTTATGTTTTTTTTTTTGTTTGTTTGTTTTTT